AGTTAGTTAGTTTCGTAACGGACGTAATGTAACGGTTGTAACTTTTCTCAGACGCGGAGGGATACTGACTTGTGAAAAGTAACTACAATTCTACCCGTGATATACGCTCATTATATCACGGCTGAGAACCAATCAGATTGCTTGATTTGACTTTTCCGTTTTATAAAATCACATTAGATATCAGAATAAATAAATTAGATATTAGAATAAATCACACAAAATAAAATCGAGGTTATCTTGTTTCTGATAAAAACCGATGTAGCTTTGAATTAAAACAAACATTGCTTTTACTAAAAGTGTTTTCTGGTGTCTATAAAAGCGTTAAATTAGAAAAGTGGAGCTCAGGTTGTTGAAGACATTAAGCTTTGGCATTTTGCATTTTAGCTATAACATACATATTCTCTTTTTCTCTCTGTGGAAGGACATGAAATGTGATTCTACTGGAGATTAAACTGCTCTGTGTACCAGTAATCAAATCATTTTATTCCAAGGGTTTCCTCACCACAGAGAACTTTCCGTCTCCGAACCACATGACCCAGCGAGTGCCGTCTGCAGCTCTGCTCCGGCCGCTCATCCACCAGGACACGATCCTGCCGGGCCACCAGGAGAAACCCCGCAGCTTCCCGAACACCAAGACACCGATTCCAAAACCCCGGCCGTCCTGTCAGCGCAGAACACAAGACCAGTTAAAACCAGAACTCATGATATAAGATACTATAGCTAGCATTCTCTATGATACATAATTATAGACTCAAATCTAAAGTATTGTTTCAAAAGTAATTCAGTGGAGACAGTTTCGACACTGCTACATACGAAAACTCTTTATCTCAATTTCGATCTTTATTTAAAACAACCTCAGTTGACCAAAGTGCTGTACAGGGAATAAATGCAATATCAAATAACACAATGGGAGTACAATTATAAAACAATAATTAAAAACATGATAAAAGCACAATAACTAACATATAAAAACACATACAAATGTAAAAATGTTATGTTCAACGAGTATTAAAATGTACACTGAATGTTAGAGTCTGTTTAATAAAATAAAGCTTGTTTGGAAAATTCATTATAAAAGCCTGACATGTTATTAAGCAACCCAGACTAAAAGGTTTTGCTTTTGATACAATTTGCCATTTTCGACCTTGTAAAAAATATTTATTTAGTATTTGAAAAGTTTCAGAACAAACACAAAGTGGATATTAACCCATAAGAACCCGGACCCATTTCTACTTTTGGAAAAATTAAGGGGAACATAATTTAGACTAAATAGACAAAACACATTTCTGACATAACCCCCCCCCTAGTGTCAAATATATGCATATATGTCAAATTGGGCTTTATTGGTAAAANAATTTACTCCAGGTGGAACTAAAGTCTGATTTAACCCATAAGAACCCGAACATTTAGTCTAAATTATGTTCCCCTTAATTTCCCCAAAAGTAGAAATGGGTTCGGGTTCTTATGGGTTAAATCAGACTTTAGTTCCACCTGGAGTAAATTCACAAGCTACCCTGCAGTATACAAAGTCATTCAAACTAGCTGCACCTTTACCAGCTTTGAGAACACTTTAATGATCAATCATTATAAAACATATCATATAGCCTATATTATTCTGAAATGGACCAATCTGCACAATGACTACTAATATTTTGATGCCAATACTTTTGTACTTTAACATTTTGAATGCAGGACTTTTACTTGTACCAGAGTATTCCTACACTCTGGTACTTCTACTCAAGTACAATATCTGAGTACTTCTCCAACCGGTGGTAATTGTAGAGAATCTTGACTTCCTGTTCTAATGATGTGTTCTTTCCTTACAGCCGCCCTCTGCTGGAGGATGGAGAGAAGTATTCCTGTGACAAAATATTCACTGACATTTTTATACTTTGTGTTTTTCAGGAAGCTAAATGCTGCATTTTAATAAAATAGACATTTTTAATGTCTGCAAGTGTTGTTGTGCAAATGGCACATTATTAGAAACAATGTATGCTTATGATTTAATTTGAAATAAATTGTTTTTAAATAAAAGACACTCATCCAGTTCTCTGTGATGTCACATTATATTTCGTAGGAAATCGATAATACTTTCGCTTTATCTAAGTGTTTTCTTACAATAATAACAGCTAATGAAATAACACACACCATTTCATTATTCTACAATGACACCTTTAATGTAGGTCGTTTTCTGCAATGAATACCAGGATGTACAAACATGTCAGTGTCATCTCAAACACAGTAGTTAGGATTTTAAAATGTGTCCGTTAACATTGAAGGGAATAGGACTGAGATTTCTGAAATGCCAACTAAGCACAGGAAAAACACTGCACGCCAAATGCATTGTGCAAAAGGCCCATTTGATTAAAAGAAGGGATATTTCTTCACTGACTTTTACAGAATGGCGACAGATAGAGGTTACACAACAGAAAAGGCAAAGCGTAGTCATCCAAAAAGGCAAAAGCTGGGTTTAAAGAGATTGAAAATACAAAAACAGTCAGTATGAAAAAACTCCTTCTGGCAGTGTTTGTTTTAGTTGAGGCTGGGGAACCCTGTTAGACTTTAGTTCATTAAAACAAATTATTTTTAACATATTTATTACCAGAATAGCTATTTTCTTTACTCTATGATTTAAAAAAAACAAAAAACAAAACATTTTAGGCAACTTCAATTGATTAGTATATTCTACCTCACATTTCTAACTTCATGCATTAGGTTTCTGTGCTTTAAAAGATAACCTCTCAACCTAACGGAGTGTTTCTCTGTGTACCTGCCTACACAGAAAGTAAAGAATCATTTGAAATGTCTGTCAGAGAAACACGTTTCTGTGCGTATATGACTTCTTTTGAGGTAGACATAAGAAATAATAATACACTGGAGTGTTAACATCCTCAAAGAGGCTAGTTATGGTTGCTTCTATGCTGCACATACATTTTCTAATTTTAGTATGCAAGCTGTATGCTGGCAGTAGCCATTTTGGAGTTTAAAATCAACTATATATAAGACAAAAAAATAAATTAATACAATGATCTAAAGACTATGTTAGAAGGGTAAGTTAAAAAAGAGATGAAGCGTGGCAGTTTTGAGGGAAAACCAGATCCCTAAATATTGAGCTTGAATGCTTCAACTGGAGTTTTGGCGAGGTTTTATGGCTGTAATACTTCACTTCCAGTTCCATCATTCGAGCTGTGCGTGTTTTAGCTGTCAAACTGCTTCATCATGAGCTTCCGGCTGACCTCGTATCCCAGGAACAACGCTCCGTTAGCAGGGAAGGTGCGCACCATGGTGGGGGTGAGACCGGAGTACAGTGCCCTCACACCTGAACAAAACAATTAACAAAGATTATTTTCTAAGTCAGGGGTGTCCAAACTTTTTTCACTGAGGGCCACATACAGAAAAATATTCGAAGGGCCGGGCCGCTCATTAGAGGTGAGGTATACTGCCTCCTAAGTTAAGTTATAAGTTAGCAAAATCAATCAAAAATTAAATAATGATACTTGAATCTGCTTTAAGAAAAATAAACAGCCTACATCCCAGCTCTCCAGAGGGTTTAATTTAATTTGTTAGCAGCTTATTCCTTACAACAGGAGCCCCAGACTGATTATTTTAAGAGGAAATAGGAAGGGTCAAGGTTGTTATGTAAATAAGTGAATGGGCTTTTTTATAATCGACTTCGATTTGTTAGAACANTACATAAATGGTGACAACCGTTTGAGACTGTGAACTGACCGTTGACGTGGCCCGAACAAGCAAGGAGGCAGAGGCAGCAACTGTCCAAATACAACCCGGTTGGGCACTTATTCAATTCAGGGCACATGATTCACAGCCTCAATTGCTGTCCATCTGAACACAGTCAGCAGCCACAAGGATCTCACACACACTACCTGTCCACTGACAGGGAAAACAGAGCCTAAATACACACACACTAATCAGGCCAAAAAGGCACAGGTGGGGGGGAGGGGGGGGAGACAACACAGGGCACCAGGTGAACCCAATCACCAGCGACAGACAAAACGGGAGGGGAAACACTTTCAAACTAAACCACATGTGCAATATTACAAGGCCCGAAGCCGTCAGTCCACAGTGACGAAGTTACCTTTGTCACAGAGACCCACTGAGAACTTAGACTAAGTGAACTATCTAAACACTCAGAGAGTCCTTTACCTCACCTGAGCTGAGGTTATCCCGAGCTTGAATGACACACAGAGACCAATCAAGGGCTTTGATTTATGATCTGTATGACAGTGGCCATGTCGGCAGGCCACATCATGTAGACAGCCAGTCACCCTGTGTGAGGCAGGCCACTTAACAGGCCAGGCCATCGGGAAACCCCCCTGTCCTCCCGATGGCCAGTCCGGGACTGGGTACAGGAGGCGTAGAGCGAGGGATCATTGTCCACAAGTTAATCGATCGCAGATGGCGTCGTGGTCACGGACGAATTAGAAAAAAAAAAAAATGGGTGGCGAAATATAATTGGGCGGCCGTTAATATACCTGGGCGGGCGGCCCAAGTATAGTCTATGTGTGGGAAACCCTGTGTAAAGTTAATATATCCGCTATCCTAATCAGATGAAACACTTCTCAGTTGAAGTGAAAACATTAATATTTTGCTCCAGCGCTCGTCAGCCATAAATTATCCACGAAGGCTAAAACATCCAAACAGACCGACGTGTTCACAATCTATTATTGATCATCTGCAGCCAGACTGTTTCCCATAAGATCAGATAGTCATCTTGAATTAAGCTGAAGTGTTAATATGAATCTAATCCTGTTCAAATAAATGTATTTTCTTCCTTGTTGTCTGTTAGGAGCCAGCCAAGTTGTATCCTCCAGTTTCGGCAGAGAAGAGGAAACCAATCAGAGTTCTCTCTCTGTTTGACGGCATTGCCACAGGTACACATGCAGAAACTAACGATTATATTGATTGTTGTTGAATCTATTTAATAATAGAAGATTTCAGCTGCTCCACCATTTCCCAGACTTTAATTCATCAACAATTATTGTATTCACTTTTGACTTTTAATTTACTTTAATCATCACCTTAATTCGTGCAATACTTTGCTTTATGACCAAATTCCCAACTTCCTCTGGTGTACTTTCCAAAGCACCAGTGCTGTTCAGTGCTTATTGGCCAAAGTTAGCAAGCTATACCACGATGGTAAACATGGTAAATTATATCTACTAAATATCAGCATGTCATCATTGTCATTATGAGCATGTACGCATGATACCATAGATGTGTGTGAGACTGTAACAGAAGTGAATTATCCCTCTTCATACTGCAGAATTATGTATTTATTTACGAAAATAGGGCTTGTTTTTCGAGACTTTTTCAAGAATGTGTATTTTTATGTGTGTGTGCAATCAGGTCTGCTGGTGCTGAGGGATCTGGGGATGCAGGTGGACAAATATGTTGCGTCCGAGGTGTGTGAGGACTCCATTACTGTGGGCATGGTCCGACACCATGGCCGCATCATGTACGTGGGAGACGTCCGCAACGTAACACGCAGACATGTGAGTCAATAACTGTTCAACCTTGTGGGGACATAGTGGTAGATGAAAGGGAAACACTTATTTCTTCTTACATGTTTGTTTATTGTTACCCTTTCTTTATTGCTGATCTCAACTTATGCTTATAGATCGAGGAGTGGGGACCATTTGACCTGGTGATCGGAGGAAGCCCCTGCAACGACCTCTCGATAGTCAACCCTGCAAGGAAAGGCCTTTTTGGTAAGTGTTAGGAAAATATCACTCGTCCCCGGCTTGAGCTTCAATCTCAGGATCCATGTATCTGTGATCCTCTCCAGAATGGAAGTAGTCATCACATACAGAGCATCAACTAGTTCCTGAACAGTGTCCTTCACATGCTGATATCCAAGAGAGGGAGTTACACGGTCACAAGATGGAGGAATACCGGTTCTTAGGTAATNGCGAACACAGCTGCTGTTTTTCTTTCTTAATAGACTCTCCATATATTGCTTATCGAAGTGACTTTCAGCTTTGACTCCTGGTGTATACAGGGGGTCCGCGGGGTCTTAAAAAGTATTAAAAGTTGATAAATCAATTTAGCGAAAATGAAGGCTATTAAAA